ACGGGAATAGAAATTGGATTTATTATATTTCAAAGTAAATCAGTATATACTTAGGTGATAAGAGAATAATAGCAAAATAAAATGACATGGGTGTTTCTTAATACGTAGCTTAAAATTGTTCTGATTTCTATTGTAACAAAATCAAGAATTTGAAAATTGTGGCATGGATTCATAATTTTCAGATCTACAAGAAATAGTTTCATTGAATCATCAATTCAATAATAAAAATTCATTCTTTTTTCAGATTCTAAATTCGAAGAATTTCTACTGTTAATGATAATCGAGATGATTCTAAGGTTTAGAAATGTGCAGCTGGAGCCGGTGAATTATGGGAGGATGGATGGGAATTGATGATTTTCGAGAGATGCCACGAAGAGAGCCTCTTCCGCGATCATGTAACACCCGCGGCGGGACGGAAATAATTTCAGCTTGCGAAGAGGGGTGAAGGAGAGAGACGGTCAAGTGGAACGAGTCGAGCATTCCTGCATTATGCGCCGCACTGCCTCGATTTAATATCACTTCGCTGTCTTATCAACGCGATTTCATCACCCTAAGAGACACACACTTTTAATCTACCTGGCAAATCTGATTCTTCCTATAAATAAATATAAAAGCTTCGCCCTTTCAGATAAATAGTTCAAAATTTGTAGCATGATTTCATTTCTCGCAGAAATTCTTAATTTCTCTCTCACTCTGTATATTTTATTGCGTATGAATAAATATATGAAATTAAATTAATGCTGTTACTGTTGGGAAATGACGTCGATTTTATCAACCTTTAATCCGCATGTAAAACCTGATATGACTAAATATTCAAGCGATTGCTGTTACGAATATTTAACTTGCTGCGGTGCTGTTTCGCAGAGATCGTTGCACCCCCCGGTTAAATATAAATAAATCGACTACTTTTCGCGGTGGGATGAATTTTTAAGCACTTCCTCTTTACGCCGGGCCCCGCTATTTTCGACGGGATCGAAGAGACGCCTATTCTCAGAGAGATTATCCAATTTCGTTGTCAATCAACGAGACAATGTACTCCGATAACGTGTCACGCGTCTCCGGACAACGTTCTAATATTATACCGCGTTCCTACATTTTTTATATACCGTATATTAAAATAGCAATAATCCATGGTAGCGAAACTTTATGCTATCTTCTATACGACAGAGACGATTCACAAATAGTTCCAAGAGCTTAGAAAACGGACGAGTCTAGTTAAAATAAGACCCGACTGGTCTGACCCAAAATTTTTCAACGCACCTTTTTTTTATCCTTAAAATAGCGAATTTTAACCCAATTAATTCGAACGGTATTTCACGAACTTCTTAATTGAATTTTGTTCTTTGCTACCTACGATGAAGACAATTCACGAATAGCTCTAAAATCTGGGAAAGAGAATCGAGTTTAGTAACTTAAAATACGGGGAGACTGAACTTGTTTGACCCAAAATTTCCAATCGCTAGACTGGATTTAAAAGAATAGAAAATAATTCCAATTCTTAAGAGACTGACCGAATTTTGTATGGAAATTTGGAAAATTCCTGTGGGATCGTTGGTTTCGTGAGGGAAGTACAATGGTTTCCCGAAGGCTGTGGGCACGCGTGGGCGGTCGGGGCTGATCATATACTCTCGGAGCTTTTTACATAAAGCCACGTGCACGCGTATAAGTCTTGCTAAAAATAGAAATTTGAGCAAGATTCTATTAATAGTGGATGAGTGTGTTCTCACAGTACGTGTGCTCCTCTCACTCGGCCATGCTCGACGGTAACGAGCAGCTTTTCGGAAAGACCGCCCCTACCTAAGTAAAAGAAAGACGGAATTCGATCCTTGGGAACGTCTACCCCATTTTTGGCTCGAAATAAATATATCATCCTTTCTCCATAATTTCAACAAATTTTTATACAGTTTTCATGATTAATTAAATAACCCACTTGTGATTTCAATTTAGGGAATGAAATTTTTATGTATAGAAAATAGTATATAAAAATAATTAAATTTAAGTGCATAGACCTGATATAAGTATGAAAATAATAATAAGCATTTCGCTTTTGATTTTCTAATCACAGCTTATCATATTTATTATATTTAATGTGATTCATCTAATTTTTATATGAATGCATAAAATCAGCAGTCTTATTCATTAGGACTGATGAGAATTTTTAAAAAAAAAAAAGTTTGATCGAGTATCGAATGCCAATTCTTGGTTGGTGTTAATATAAAAATTATGGCATCGCGTTGCTGTTGTTTGCGAATGTCATTAGGGCCCGGGAGTTAGTCCAAGATGTATGAGTAATAAATTTATTTCTGTATGTCTCTCGCTGGTTCATCGCTCAGAAAACATATTTCCCTGGTGTAGCACAATGTAAACGAATACCGTAACGCGGATTCGCATGATTCACGTTATATCGACAGCCACCCTGGGCGCCTAATTACATCTCACGTTAGACGAATGAAATGCATTAAGAAACGTTTGACTATTTCAAACGAGAAACTCATTAAAATAAATCTAATTAAATTTTGAGGAGTTAATCCAAATCCAGAGGAGACTCGAATTAAAATTCATGTAGATCTGAATTTGTATTTTTATAAATCAAGCGGATGATTAATTATAAAAAATGTACAGATTTATAAAATATTTAAAGTATTCTGTGTATTATTATTTGTTAGGAAAATGTCAATCTTGATTTTCGTATTCTGAGCAGAGAGTCTATTAATTATTGACGTTAAGATTAGGAATTCTCATGTTCTTGTGACTAATAAGAAAATTGTCAATCTACATTTCATATTTCAGATCGTATTTTGAATAGAATGTTGGTTAATTGATGACTAGGAATCATCTTCCATCTCGTGTTCTGAGAAATAAAATCTCTCCTTTCTCAGGTTTCCACGAAATTTCTCACGTGCCAACGTGCTTCTCTCTCTTCGTTTACGAATAACCGTTCCAATTCCCCTTGAAAAAATTCGTTCGTTACACCAAACCCGTTACTGTATATTTCTCTAACATCCTCGTGGCAGCTACCTCACTTTCTATCATCGTAAGTATTGCTCTTCAACCATTCGAATTGTTATATTTTGCAAAATTGAAGCGTTGCGAGCTGGCCACGTCAAAACGTGGAACCATCGAAAGAATTTTAGGGGTTTTCCAAGAATCTAATACTCTTTGGAATATTATTAATAATTCGTCGATAAAAATTTATTGACTAATATATTTAATATTTATTTAATTTACTGAATTTTTATTATTAGTCACAGTTGACAGAATATCAATTGTTTTAATTCAGTAAAAAATCATCAATGCTTATCAATATTTAAATCACTCTCAATCAATAGATTGACACAGAGAAATTATAAGTATAGTTTTTTATATAAAATAAAATCGTTATATGAATTTAGTAAATGAAATCTGAAGATGTCTTTTAACTCTGCAAAGTAATAATGTACACTTGTGTGCACAAATCTATGATGCTTATTGCCATTATTTGCACTCTTCATGTCCTGCAAGATTTGTGTGCAGATTCTGTGTCTAAGGGGAGATATCGAGCGGTGGTCGTTTGGGTAACCTGAAGTGTATAGTGTAACACCCCCGCTAGAAGAAACGAAGGCGGCTAGCACTCCCTCTGCCACCGCGACGCTGTCGTCAACAGGCACTGACGTTCCGATGCACACGTGCCGTGTGCAAACCGGCTGGCTATGACTAGGACGGGCACGACGCGAGAACAGCCATTCGAATCCAGTATTAGTGCGGTGTAGAGTGCTTCTCGGTGTTTTTTCATCTTCGCGCCTGCCTGCCTGCCTGCTTGTCTGTCTGCCTTCCTCCCCGAATCGAGTTTTACCGACGTTTCAATTTTCGTGATCAGAGAACCCGATAAACCCGGTGGTGAGTAGCGAGTGTTGAACCGCCGGCTAGTAGACACGATCCGTGATGTGCAGATTAGAACGGCTTATCATTTGTGACTCGGGATTTGATTACTGATAAACCTCAGTGATTCACGTATTCACGGGAAAGTAGGCGAGTCAGCTTCTGATTATACATAGTTCGATATTTATGTAATAATTGATAGGGGCAAGTGAATTCTAGTCTTTCTAACAGAGCTTAGGTAACTGACGAAGTGACTCTTCATCTTCTGATTATATTTTAATACGATAATAATTGTCAGAGGCAAGTGAATTCGTTTCATTTCAAAATAGATTTCAGGTAACTGATCGAGCTTAGTAATTACTTCTTCGATAAGTAGACTCTTCGTCTTCTGATTATATTTTAATACGATAATAAGTGAATTGCATTTGTTTAAAAAAGAACTGACTTAGTAATTCCTCTTCATCTTCTATTTCTTTTATAAAGATTTTAGATAACTGACGAAGCTTAGTGATTTGTTCGTCTTATAACTGATAGTAGTGGATCTCTGTCTTCTTGATATCTCAAAGCTGATTCGAAGCGAGGGTGTTTCCTTTGGTTACGCGCAGTGTAAATCTCTTCGGGATACGATGCATGATTTCGGGAGCTGTGTAAAGTCCACATTTAGCTAGACGCGTGGCCGTAAAGCTGAAGCGCGTGCCGGGTTCACTAAAACGCGATGAAATTTGAGATCCTCCTCCGGATTTAGTGTACACGGGGGTGGGCGGCCCGGCGTTCTTATGATGTAACTTTGATACATCGGCATATACAAACAGCGGCCAGCTAAATCGCTACCATTACTTTTTTATACGATGTTACGCGAGAGCAGTTGCAATTAACTTGTCAGGTTTTATGATCGCTAAACAGTAACGAGATTTTATGTATTTGTAGAATGAATTAAATGCAACATTCACCAAGTATTAAATCATCTTTGAAGAGTGAGAGAAATCTTGATGTAGATTCTTTAAATTGATAAGAATCTGCAATTCGATATTTTCAATCCTCTTAATTGAAATTCTATATGGATTTGTGTATCAATTTTTTTGATTGAAATTCCCGATGGGTCATTAAATGATTTTAATGAATCGGAGGAATAATGAGGGGGAGATTCGAAAAGGTAGGGGTAATGGCGACCGCGTTGTGGAGAATCTAGCACCTTCCCTAATACGGCCTCGCGATCCGGCTTCTGTCTGCACGGATATAGAATCCTCTGTCTCTCTTTCAAGCTCCCTCGTAGCCTCTCTAGCAATTCTACTAATACCGTAGCCACTTCCAAAAAGTCACGCGACTCTCGCCTCGACTTTTCATCCAAACAACAATTTCCGCTACGTCCAAACAAAATATTGATTGACGAATCAACTGCTAAGATTTAAGGCTTCTCACGTTTTTTATTATTTTCAATATTCGTGAGGATGATGGAATTTATTAAAAAATGATACCTAAGATTTCTATTACGTTTCAATTTTTGGACATTTCATTCTCTATTCAATGAATATATATAATCTAATTATGTATTAATATAGAATTACGTGACCTGTCCATGGAATAGTTGAATTATTGCAATTTTCATCGACGCGTTATTATCTATCAGCTAGTGGGTGATCGATCATTGATGAACGATCGGATTAACATTCGTCACTATAGCATTTTCAATAATATTATTGAATAATTGACTGGTTACGCGTGGTAATTTAATGCGGTTTTTATCCCCCCCCCCCCTCTTACTCGTGGGTGTCGGTTACTGAATGCAACCGTTCGGCGTTCACGAAAATAGACCCGTTCACCGGCGGAAGGGTAACTGTTTACGTTTCGTACAGGATTAGGTAATCTCAAAGTTGCCGGTTTTGCAGAGATTCATCTCTTCATGCAGAGAGAATTATTAGAAGAATGAATTAATTGAATTTATGTCTCGACCGAAACAAGAATTTTTTAATCAAACCTGAAGAATAATTAATTAAGTGGAGATACTAATCGTAGGTTTTTCTGTTTTCAGTATAAACAAAATGCCTTTCAAACCAGTAGAGCACCCCAAGTGTCCCAAATGCGGTAAATCCGTGTACGCCGCGGAAGAACGCGTCGCCGGCGGACTCAAATGGCACAAGATGTGCTTCAAGTGCGGTAAGTGATTGAATATTCGAATGACACAGAGCATGTCACGCGTCTCCCTTCGTCCTGTGACCGGAGAATCACAAAGTAAAATCATGTCATCGTACATCTTTTCAATTATTTATATCTTTTTCATACATGAATGAGAGAAATTGAGCACCTACCTTCCGATTGTTGATCACTTCGCGGTTCACTCGCATGATAAACGATAACTGTTTGATTAAAATTCATAGAAATAATAACGAAAAGATCGTAATAGTAGTCACGGGACCGGCACCCCGTTGCGCAAAAACACCATCGGGCCGTTTTTAAATTTAGCCATCTATAAATAAGTTTTATGCCAGTCCCGGATGGTTTGTCTTGGCCTTAATTAGTTTTGTATGCCAGCCAGAAATCAATTGGAACCACCCAGCGCGAACCGGTGGGTGCAACGACCCGGCAGCCGGGAAAAATCCCACTCGAAATAGGAGAACCCCCCCATTGAATATTCATACCTGCCGGCCGAAATAAGCTGCGCCTAAAATTATTTCACCCCTCATCACCCCTCGTTCTCATTCTTCTCTCTCGCTTGTAAAACGCCCTTTACATTTCTTGACTATTATCATTGCAACCGATCATCGATGATCGGTGTTCATTAATAATTATTTTCAATCGGGATTTAGTATTATCGCAATTACGACGTGGACTAATCGAGTAGCATAAAGCCGATTGATCAGATCCTTCAGTTTATCGGTGAATGGAATCTCGACGAAGTCGAATTTAGATTGAGAATTAATAAATAGTGATGATGAACGAATGCCAGTGAACAGGATGACGGAACGGGTAGGAAAACCAAGTGTGCCTGTGTTGCAGGTCTTTGCGGCAAATTGCTCGACTCGACAAACTGCTCCGAGCACGAGGGCGAGCTTTTTTGCAAAGTGTGCCACGGACGCAAGTTCGGTCCTAAAGGCTACGGGTTCGGTGGAGGCGCTGGTTGCCTGTCCATGGACCAGGGCGAACACTTGAAGAGTAGCGAGTGAGTGCACCTGCCCGTCGTCCGCACTACCCCGACCCCGTCCCCCGTCCCCTCCTAACGTCCGAGTCTCACCCCTTAGTCGTTTGTCAGACCCCAGAGTCGTCTTACTAAAAAAAAAAAACAAAATCCAAACGAAATATGAAAATCGAGTACCAAAGACCTGAAAAAAAAACGATCAACGACGACGGCCCACTGATCCAACGGCATGATCACTTCCTGTTGTTGGTATATAAACCCGGAAGAAACTATTGGAAGAAGCACCAGCCCAACGATCGAGAGCATGCGTCTGCGTCATTGTGTATACGACTGTGTAAACTACGTCTCCTCCTAATCCCCTCCCAATTTTACTATTTCGTTTAAATATTCGTCCCTCGTTTTTATTACAGCATTTCTAAGTTTTAGTTACCCTTTCGTTTCGTTTTCTAATTACCCCGTTTATTTCTGGACCCTAACACCCTCGTGCCTTGAAACCTGTATCCTATCTCGTCGTCCAGCGATTATGGTGATGGTGATAATGATGATGATGATGATGATGATGATGATGACGACGACGATGACGACGACTTGTAATAATTATTGGTGAATTAACTGTGTCTTTAATCTAGTCGACTTCTATCTTTGTCATTCGTTTAACTTCCCGTTTTCTGCTCTTCTTCTTTGTCTCTCACGTGCCTATTTTTTTCTTCTTTTTTGGTTCTCTCTTTGTTTCTTGTTGCCCGTTAGAACGACTAGATTAAGAGAGTCGTTCATTTGGTATATATATACACGTATATATATAATCTTTCTCGTTTCTTTTATGCGATTACACTACATTACGCTAGTTTATAGAATCATTTGTACCATCTGTAATAAATGCCATTAAAAGACGAAAAAAGGGAAAGAAAAAACAGAAGAATCTGGTGTTCTTCATTGACGATACTTAACGCGTATTTTTCCGAACGCATTTACGGTCGGACAAAAATGTTGACGAGTCTCAATTACTATGGTACAGATGAATGAACGTTTCGATGATCTCTCACGCGGTGGTTTACGACGGAAACATTTTTGACCCGCTGTACATGCACACACACCTATTTAGATATAATGGATTTAGATAAAAAAAAAAAAATAAGAGAGCCTGGCACCGACGACAGTGGAGAACCGAGGGACGAACAAGAGCCAGGCTGTCCGATTAATTGTTTTTCTTTTTTTAAAGAAACCCTTTTACCTTGTTTCCAACCCTTTGTTTTCTTCTCGAGAGTACGACAAAATAGATAAAAAGCAAATGCCAAAAAAAAAATACAAAACACCCTACTACTACCACCCCCGCCAGCCCCGCCGAGTGCGAGCCAACCGGAGGCCCATGATCGAACAATATACATGTCGCTTTATCACGAGCCTGCGCTCGAAACCCTCGTGATAAAGGGAACTAGCGAGTACTAAAAGAAAAAAATGGTGAGCACCGAGTCAGATTCCGCCTCTCTCTCTCTCTCTCTCTACTCTCTCTACTCTCTCTCTCTTGACTCTCATTGCCTTTTCTACCGCCTTACAAAAGAAACCAACCGCTTTTACTTACAACATTTTTTTCATATCTATTTTTTTCTCTACGTTCCATTTTCCAAAAAAAAACAATAGAACAGATGAAAAAGAATCTCACGGACGATTTTATCGACCCGCTGGACACCTGCACGGCCTCTACAATTTTTTTTCTCTCGGACACGCGTTAACCTCGTAACCCCGCTAACACGTTTAACTCTGTGGGTGCTTCTATTTAGAACTTCGACACAGACACACCGTGCGCTTACAGACACCCGCGTAGGACTTTTAGATGATAACGCTTGACCCCACCATTTCTCATTTTAAACGACATCTCGCTCTAATCGACAACCCTTTGAGCTTCTACTTTATTCCTGTCTCCTCATTTCTTGCGCCACTTGCTCTGTCCTCACTTGTTTTCTTTTTCCGAGTAAAACGTATTATCATTTGGTTTCTTGTTACGTCACGATCCGCTTCTTGGCTCTCCTCTCGGGGCTCGGCGGAAGCCACCTGCGTGGTTGCAAACGGGGAACGGGGATACTAACCGATTACTAACATGTGCCTAACACTCTAACCGCCGGGTTGTCACTCTTTCACCGGTGTTTTTGGTAATCAACGCCCCGCGGATCGATGGAAGTCTCATTCGAAGCTCTCACGTTCCATCGTTCCACGGCCGCCCCCTTCTTTCTTTGCAGTGCCGTTTTTTCTTGTACTGTCTGCTTGTCCCGGTGTTCCAACGCCCCCCCGTCCAATCCCCGTCGATCACTTCGGTGACCGGACGAGATTCCATCGGGGAACAAAATTCGACCAAGTTACCTTATTAACAATTTCACAACGAGTTCTATTCAAAATTCGTTAACGTGGGGCGCTGGCACGCCGATCTTTGGGGGTCACAGCTTCACTTTTGTTGTGTACCCAGAGCTGCCGGACCTGATGATTACAAGGGACGCGTTTTTAGGGAACTCGCGAGGGGATCTAACGCCGTCCTGGAGTCGAGAGCCATCGCGAAGGCGCCGGAGGGCGAGGGATGTCCCCGATGCGGAGGATACGTGTACGCCGCCGAGCAGATGCTGGCTCGAGGAAGGGTGAGTCTCGAAAACGAAAATTGCTCGCCCCATTCACTTATCACACCACCACCTTGGTGCCGTGACTCGTCCGTCTGAGGTCAGTCCTCCGCTTGACCCGAACGATCGACGCTAGTTCCATCACACGCGATCGTTTTTTCTCGACGTTTTTAACTGAGACAGCGGGAACAATTTCGAGAACAATTCCGAGTTATGTCACCGACCGATGGAACGAGTATTTCTGGTGGTTTCTCGGACGGTGCGCGCTTTATTTTTACCCGTAGCAACCCGACACCGCGACGGGTCGTGGAGGGGCGAGTTGTAAACAGTCCATGAAATCCTGGGTTATTAATTGACGCCGCCAATTGGACTCTCTCCGGGCGGAGTCGGCCGATTAGTCACGGCTAAATCTTGACCGTTGAACGTTCTGGAGATCGTCGAAATAGCAGAGAAAGCGGATTAATTCGCGGAGCCAGTTTGACGATTTTTGGAGGATGGCCTCGCCTGCTAAAATTGACCGGGTCCTAGCTGAAATGATGCCAGGTTGACCGCGGTACTCCGTAATCTTCTGACGAAACGCGGAATTTCATAACAATCGAGAGGGGTAAAAAATAAGAGGAGCCGGCGAGGATGACTCGGTGTGTTGCCGTTGGTGATCGCCCAAGAGCTTTTCCTGTCCTCCCGAAGATTGGCCGGCGACCAACTGGCCCTGCCCGTCGCGTACGACGTTGGAAAATAACTTGGAACTGCACAAGATTAACTCGATGGAGGCTAATTGCCCTTCTTAGGCCACTGCCAATCGCTGGACACTTCTTAAAGAACTTGCACAGCGTCAGAGATCGCAGTTCGATTCGTATTTAAATCGTTCGATCTTTTGCCAATTGGATACGCACCAAGCGTAAATTAGATCTGTTTTAACGAACAACGCTTGTTTTCGAGTCAGGGTATTAACCCTCGCTAGGGCTCGGGCGACTGTCTCAGGCAAAAACTGGTCACGGCACCAAGACTGCGTTCGAATCAAATCCATTACGCGAGAAGATATATTCGCCTGCGGGCACACGATGGTCATTCCTACTTCTTGTGATTAGGCTTACCATAAGTCATGCTACAAGTGCAAAACGTGTCAACGGTCTCTGGACTCGACGCTTCATTGCGATGGTCCTGATCGCGAGATATATTGTCGAGGTATCTTTTGAAAATCCAACAAAATCTGCCTAATTTGTTCCCCGTCACAACGTGCCGCCCCCCCCCCGAACGTCTGGAATTAATTTCTCCCACGTCCACCCCCTTTTGATCACGTCCTTTCTTGGCCAGAGCGAACGACCGCTTGCGAGATGCGTTTTAGAAGAATTCGGGATTGTCCTGGCCTTGAAAGGACCGCGAATCATTTTCGTATGGCACACACACACACTGGCGCAAAGTGTTCCGTAAATCGTCACACAATTAAAATTCACGTCCGCGGTCCCTCGTCGATTGGAGAACCAGGAGAGGAGCAAACCGTCTTGGCCAGTCCACCCTGTTCTTGTTCTTTCACCCCGTCAATTGCCCACACTCGCGGGCACAGGGAATGATCTATGTGTATTAGAACTTAAGACTCGTCGAACGCCCACACCTACTTTCAGTGACTAACAACGTGTCCCTTTGTGTCTCACGCAGCAATGGCACAGGGAATGCTTTAAATGTGCCAACTGCTCCAAGAGATTAGACTCGGTGAACTGTTGCGAGGGTCCTGACAAGGACATCTACTGCAAAGGTGAGGACGCGGCACGATTCATACTTTAGACGCGAGCCACTCCACGTATTCTATAAATTAAATAAAATTTATTTCCCAGGACCTGTGACCTCTTCAAGGTTTCAAGGTTTAAAAAGCTTAAAACATATAAGATGATCATTATTAATCTTAAAATTATAGAACAGAATTCGGGAGATTTACTATATTGTTGCGTTATGACCTTAAATGGCTTGGCTAAAAAAAAAATTGATTGAAGAAATGAATACGCGGAGACGCCTCGCGTCTTCAGGCGAGCAGCACCCAACCTTTAACAACTATTCTCTGCAGTATGCTACGGAAAGAAATTTGGACCAAAGGGTTATGGCTACGGCCAGGGTGGCGGTGCCCTACAAAGCGACTGCTACGCCAATGGGTGGGTTTTTAGAGCCGAGTCTGAGACGGGAAACACAAGCGCGAGATATCCCGCCTCGGCTTCTACACTCTCATTATATATGATGCGCTTGTCTGCTTAACAGCTTGCTATCCGAAGAAATTCGGTCCGCGAGGTATTGGCCACGCTGGGGTAATGTGGATCGGGCTGCAGTGCGATATTGAGGACGAGGGGTACGCGGCTCACCCCTTAGTTATGCTATTCGCTACTCTCCGCGTGTGCGTGTGTCTGTCTGTCAATTCTTGTCCGACTCTCCTTATCAAAATCAATTATTTTTCACAATAGAAATTCATATAAATGAATCTCGCTGATAAATCTTGGTAGTTATTTCGATTTTAACGATATTTATTGGAGTTCGAAGAAACACGACGCACGAGTGATAGAGCGAACGAACGGACGTGTGCATGGATCTGTACATACATTACATACACACGAGTCGCCTTAACGCTTTGCGCTATTGCTCACCTTCACGATTCTTAACCCGAACTGTTTTCGAGTGCGAACTTTAGTATGTAGAGTTTTAAGTAGTATAACTATCCCGTTTCGTTGATAACTTGGTAATCGTGTACTAAACGCATGCTCCCATCTTGAGAAACTCTACGTAGATTTCGTTGAAAATAGTTCTAGTGTTAAATTCCTTAATTATTAGAAATTTCTATTTCTTATGCTTGCATGGGATTTCTGATACTCAGATCGAGTCGTTCGAACGAATTCTGTTCCTTCGATCCTCGATTTTATGATTCCTTTATCTGAGATCCACGGATGGTAGAATCGTTAAATTTGTTAATATAGCGACGCTGCTCCTCGTACCACCGTAGTCGACACGGCTATAATCAAAGCCCCGCCCGGCAAGGGTTGTCCACGCTGTGGCGGCGTGGTGTTCGCCGCTGAACAAGTGCTCGCGAAGGGTCGCGAGTGGCACAGGAAGTGTTACAAGTGCCACGACTGCACCAAAACCCTCGACTCGATCATCGCATGCGACGGTCCCGACAAAGACGTCTACTGCAAGACTTGCTACGGGAAGAAATGGGGACCACACGGATACGGATTCGCCTGCGGCTCGGGATTCCTCCAGACCGACGGATTAACGTAAGTCACGAATCCTAAAATACTGAGAATTAAAGAAGATGAACCAATAGGACGACTGTTTTGAATGTTGGATTATTCTGTTCAGGGAGGAGGAAATCTCGGCCAATCGGCCGTTCTATAATCCTGACACGACGTCTATCAAGGCGCCAGCAGGTCAGGGTTGCCCCCGCTGCGGCGGCATGGTGTTCGCCGCTGAACAACAGCTGGCGAAAGGGACGATGTGGCATAAGAAGTGCTTCAACTGCGCCGAATGTCATCGGCCACTGGACTCGATGCTGGCTTGCGACGGGCCCGACAAGGAAATCCACTGCCGATCTTGCTACAGCAAGCTGTTCGGACCTAAAGGGTTCGGCTTTGGCCACGCACCGACTCTCGTGTCGACTAACGGGGATCACGCTCCCTCTTAGTGAGTATCTATCAATAAATAAAATCATCAGATGAATTGTCAGTCACGAGTAGATCGTAATTTGAAAATCCTTGCAAATCTTTTGAGGATTTTATCTATCGTAACTCTGGGAATATATTTCTGTTGGTTTTTTTTTTTAAATCGGTTAATTTAATTTCAGCATCGACTCGAAGCCGCAGTTGGGCCAGAAGCGAAACGACGGGCACGGATGCGCCCGTTGCGGCTACCCGGTGTATGCCGCAGAGCAGATGATCTCTAAGAATCGGCTGTGGCACAAGCGTTGCTTCAGCTGCGCCGAGTGTCACCGTTCGTTAGACTCGACGAATCTGAACGACGGCCCAGACGGTGATATCTACTGCCGCGGTTGCTACAACCGAAATTACGGGCCGAAGGGTGTCGGCTTTGGCATGGGCGCAGGCACCCTGACGATGGCTTAAGCTCCGTCACGCTCGAACACCAGTCTTATGAATATAAATATAAACGTAAATATAATTATATATAATTATACGCGCGGCTGAGGTGGGAGCCAATTGACATTGGATTCTGCGTTTATTCGCGGGTATAGGAATATGTATATGTATAGACGCCTGATTCCTCGACGAAACAAAAACTGACGAAGAACCACGCTGCTCCAAAAATTCGCGAACCATTTCAACTGCTATTCAAAACGACGAAATGCTGATACTTTCAATCGACGATTAACGAAGACTGCACACGGAGTGCGTTCGAACGACCACGATTCATCGAATCAACGAGTCAAGCTTTTATTACTTTTGTACGGATTCGCGGGACGGAAGCTCGGTCCCCCTTTTCCCGGGAGAATTTCGTGGCGAAGTCGGGCGAACCGGTCCTCTTGTTTTAATTTTTTTTTCTTCGCCGGGAAAAGGGAGCGGGCGTCGCAGAGAGAGTACAAAGGACTAAATACCTGTATCCGAACCTTGAATCAGGAGCAACGATTGTAAATTGACGACGAAAGTGACGAGCGAAGAAAGTTGATTATTTTCAATAAATGTATATTTCGAAAAAAGAGAACGAAAACGAAGTGAACGGGTGGGGGTGTTGGCCTGTGGTTTCTTTCTCGTGGGATATTCCGACATTCTCGACATTCCAGTTGCGCGAAAGGAAAACTCATCGTTTCCAACGAGGCCTCGCCACCGGAGATGCACGAGCACCGAAGCATTTATTATAGAAAAATATTGTTGTCGGCAGAGTCAACGACGTGCTCGCAAAAGTGAACGTTCTTCCAATTATTTATTATTATTATTGAATTTGAAAAACGAGGTTGACGACGTGCGCTTATTTCATATACTGATTACGGATACTACGAATAGTCGAAATCAGAAAGTATGACACGCGCGTTTCTCTTCTAATTCAGGGATTAATTCGACGATCGAGAAGCGATAAGTTTTCCTTGGAGCCTTGAAACAACGGGAGACCGGCTTTCGTTTTCTCACCTTCCATTCACTCTCTCGATCGCTCATAATTTTTCTCGTACTAGGGGACTAACATTATCCTTATTACGAATGGACCTTAATAAATCTTAAGCTAAATGTATAATCCTGTGAGTGTATATTAAATGGCCAATGATACACACGTCGGTGGAGAGCTACTGTCACTCGTTTCCTCACACGGGAATCAAATTGTTCCCGCTCGATGGATAAGTGTGATATAGTTTACGGTGTAAAACACTAATCTTCTCTATATTTATAGCAACAACTGTACAGGTGTCATCGATATTCCCTCGTCAAACCATTCGCGTAATATCACTCGGACAAAAGTGCATAGCGAAACACTGTCCACTTCTCCCACGCTAAACTCAAGACCAATCGTCGCCACGGTGACTCTTCCATCTTTTCTACACCTGTTATCAACTTATCTTTAAACACGAAATCATTCCGGATTAAGACGGTTACGGCCACGTTCCTTTAAACTTCGCGTGCTGTGTTTATCGACTACCCATTCGTGTGCTTATTCAATGAGGATCTGCAGGACGGTACGTAGATATCGGTATCACTACCACTTCCAATTGTTATCAGTTTCTTTCGGAAACACTCACACTAACCACCAACACAAGTATAATCGAAGGTAAAAATAATCTAGCTTCCAGGAAGCGAAAACAGAAAAAGAACTTCAGTCAAGAAATTCAGAAACGATAAAACATGAACGAAACGTTCAAATCAAGTGATAAAATCAATCAGCTATTAAACAAAGATAAAATAAATCTAAAGAAATGAATAAAAAAAGTATAAAACCTGAACATCCGGTTTCGGCGCATTTCTATTTACACGAGTGTCCAAAGGGGTTGGGGCGGCGGTTTCTTAGTAGAGGTTGGCTGTCTTCAGCGGCAGGGGGTCCAGCAAGTACGGCGGTAGCGCGGCGGAAAAGGGCCTGGGGCTACAGGAACCCCAGGTCCCACCGCCGCCGTTGCTTCCTCGGGTATTCGGCGCGTTCACCTCCGCAGACGCGTCGCCGCCACTGCTGTGCTTCACGCTGACCAGGTTCGGGTTCGCGTTCGGTTTCACCTCGTTCGTAGACATCACGCTGTTGGATCCACCCGGCGGCGTCGCTGGACTTCTCGGCGAACGTCCTTCCGCTTTCACGTTGCCTGCCGTCACCGGACTTGAAGCACCGCTGTCCACCCCGATCCCGCTTTGAGACGTCGACTTCTGTTGGGCCAGCCTCTCCTGCTTCCGGAATTTCGCGCGTCTGTTCTGAAACCAGACCTGCAAGAAGACACACAAGAAGTTGCTTGACTGAAACTCAACAAATAATAGATGGTTCATGCATTTATCAGAAGAGTTAATATGGAGAACTTTTACAGTTTTTGTATCTATTTATCCTTCAGTTATTTCAACCTTAAAGAACAATGAACGTCGACGAATCTAGTATCCCAATTTCACTATCCGTAATCAATAAAACAGTGACTATGAGGAAAGTTTGGAAGGTATTCGAGCTAGGCGGTCCGTTAGGAAAAAAGCTTGTGTCCAGCTCGTCAGAGCGGAAACGTCGGAGCGCAGTCGTAATTGGCTCTAGTTGGCCAAATGAAATATTTAACGAATAAAATAAACGGAAAGCGGCGGTGACCTGCATGTTAAAGTAGCGGATTTATTTGCTCTACCGTTTATCTGACCAGCAAAGCTCCCACCCTCGTCTCCGCCGCCGGTGGCGACTGTCTCTCTCCGGTTTTCCCGTCGGTTCTTCTACGTGTGTACACGTGGGGATCCCACCCTCGACGATTTTCCAGGGGCGGCTACGCTCAGCCTCCCACGACTGGGTGGAAACCGAGGCAGCCCGGGTAGGGGAAAGGGGTTGGATTACGAGAGTCAGGGGCGCGGGACACCATGATGAACGTGATTGCCCTTTCCGGACGGCAAACACTGGTATTGGATTTTTATCAGCTGCTGCTACAGTGGCTGTTCTGTCTCTCCCTTCCTCTACCCTCCGCCCGGCACCCCCTGCCGCCCGTCCGTTCCTCTCTTTGCTGTTGTTCGACGATTCGGAGAAATTCGAGCAAACTCCACGGGAAACGTCGAACGCGTTTAAATCCTCCCGCTACCCTTCCGCTTCCGCTGATTAATCAGATGATCTCACGATCCCCTTTGTTACGACTTAACGTCTCCGGAATTTTTAACGCGGCATTTAAATCCTGGGAAAAATTTGCTTTCCTCCGATCCCGAATCGTTTGTCACAGCGTGTTTAACAACAGCCGTGAATGCTCGTAAAAATTTTTTACTCCCTTTAATACATAAATTTCTGAGATGTTTGAAATTTGTATTCACCGTCAGTCGAATCCAGATGTAAATGCTTGTAAAGAATTTGTTTTCGAGAGGAAAACAGAGGCTCGACGAAGATCAAGACGTTGACTTAACGGTGTTGTCTTATCTTATGGGGAAGCGTGTAACACGCGCGTAGCCGCGGGTAGTGGCAACACTAATAATTCGTATTTGGCCACGGACCAAACCCCGAAGAGACCGTAGCATGTGTGCCGTTGTTTGCCGAACGGACGGCGACGACGGCGTGAATTAGGGAGGCCACGGTCCCGGCGTTAATGTTAAATAAATACGCCGCGCCTAAATAAAATGCAACGAGCCGCGCTCGACAGATGTCCACCTCGTTTTGGATAAATATTTAAGCCTCGCTTTACTCGCTCCGTTGCCTCTACCCGCTGACAATCAGCTCCTGCTAGCATTTTCAGAATTAATTCACGCACAAGCATTAGCAAAAGCATAATCATTCATAATTCACCAATTTTACTGATTCTTTTTTTTTCCCACCGGTGATGTAAGAAGAATGTTGTTAATTAGAGAAAGGAATGAGTATTAAGAATTGATTATGGCAGTGAAAGTAATCCAAGCCGAGGAGGGAACTTTTTCCGGTTATTAGAACTTCGACTCATAACGCTGATGGAAACTCCTTTATAATACAAGGATTATAATCATAGAGCGACGATTCCTTCGAACTTATTCAAGTTTTTAAACGAGAAGGGATTAGAGTTGCATGCCAACGTGAACAGACGGAGGTTCTGAACCTTATAGACACATCATTAGGGATTCCACGCTGGTAGAAAAGGGTTTACTCGTTCGATTAACTCCCCACACTGTGATTTGTACTGATTTCCACCTTCTGCACGGGTTCTCCAAAGGTTTAGCCTCGGGGGACTCGATACAAGCCTGACGGTGAACAGAATCACAAATAAATACTGATGTATAATTTTGACAAACAAGTAAGACGTGTTCCGAGGAACAGAGTTTGTTCGTGATGATCGCGATTGATAATACGACACGCGTTGGCTAAGGAAGTCGCCTTGCAACTGCGACTTCGCCCGTGGTAGCTCGACCTCCCAGAGCCGTTGGAGCAAACAAATATGCGTACATCTGCAGTGAATCAGCTCGTGCGAAACTCACGTCGAAATAGCATAGTAAATATCCCAATTTCAGGTCACAGTTTCCATTCACTGGCTTCTTCTATCATTTTATATAAATTTCCTATGAATTCCTATAATCGAGTAAAGAATTTCAATTAATTTTCCATCCATGAAGAATATGAATATACATTTTTAATTCTGATCCCTTTGTAAACGGGTGAAGTGAAAGATGCAATACGTGATCAGATTCCTTAGACCTCGTGAAAGATTCACGGACACGTCCAGGATTCTTTCAATGCGTCACATTAAGCGAGTTATAAGGATACCGGAAGCGTTGCTATCAATATCACAGGAAGTCGACGGAAACTTCTATCCGGTCCTATCACTTCCGTTTCACAAACTGCTTCCGCGGCGGCAGCGTTAAGCGAAGAGAAGGATAATAATAGACGATGTGCCTCGAATTTAGGGATTAGGTAATCGAATTACGCCAGTCAAGGACTCGTTAAAGCCATTAAATCAGATGTTCGATAATAGAATTGCAGCGAATGGTGATTGCCATACGCCTGGGAGGAATCTTCTTCAATTAGCCAAATAAGTTCTGCACGGTAACGCATTGCTCAGTTTGATTAAGAGACGCATTGTCCAGTGAATCATGGACAGATCTCGTCAACCGCGTTCCCACTTCCGTCTGACCACGATCTCACTGCCGTCGACCGTCGGAGAATCGACTCATTTAAAAGACGTCTCATCAATTGACGTAATTGTACATTGCGTTGAATATTTTTGCCGATTTGGTAAAACGATTGCACAGCTTCTTAACAGCAATTATTCAGTTTAATCTGAAGCGATAACTGCGCAGGCGAACTTGGAAGGAGTTCCAGGCGTGTTTGCTACAGCGAGGCGTCGGATGATACCCAGCAGGACAGTTTTTAATCACCGTAAGTGGATCTACATAGAACTCGCAATTACCAGGGTACACTCCGAGCATGGGCCCCTTGTGTATCAGCCACCCTCGTCGGCCTACCAGAGCCAGAATGTTTTCCCCATTTCGCCCCTTGCTGCCAGACCCCCGACGCTACCCTGCCAACGAGGATCCTTCCGTTGGAAACGTTATTGCCTTCCTCCTTTTTGATCCTTTTTATACCTTCATTTATCATTCATTCGTTCGTGCTGTTTTCCCACTGCGTCTTCAAGACACGTTAAACCGAGCAAATTGTATGAATACTAGATAATTGAACATTCTATTTAAAACTTGTCTCTCTGGTCGTTTTATAATTTCTGTGAAGATACACCGAAGACGTCCAGAAATACTATTTCTTTTGTTTTTTCTTTCCTGTTGCCACGTTTTAATCAAACAATCCTGTTTCTTCTCCACTTCGATATTTTCCAACTATATATTTTCCTTCTCCTCTTTCAAACAGTGCCTCTTCTCACCGACGAGAAGGACTCTTCATCAGAGACGTCCCCGGTCACCCCCACTGGAATTGACCTTCCGCTTCCCGTGACGGTGCTCGACCGTGTCCCACGGGTGAAAGAAATTCATGTTGATTTTCTGGGATTCTCCCAAGGCTGTCTGACTTCAAATTGCTCGATCCCTTTCCATAAAAGCCTTCGTACAATTCTTCGTTCAAAAATTTAAAAAAAAAATAGTTACTCGCAAAATTACATCTTCAAATTAATTGAAATATTTTAGTAAACTTCAACCTTTTTCTTGTGCTTTTTACTAATCCATTTTGTTCCTTGCATTTGTTCATCCAAAAATTGTTTCAGGAAAACGATATTTCGTAATCGATTCAATTGGACGAATTTCTCCTGTAACTACATTCCAACAAACCCCAAAAGCCTCAAGCCACTCGAAACAATTTCACCATAGGATTAATCGGGGATCGTTCCACTTCTTTCAATTGGATTCAGACCCTTATCTCTAGTAAGGGTTCGATGATTGTTGGTGGAGCAACACCAGCCCGGCTCACCCTCTGCCAGGTTCCATTCTACGTACCATTGATGACACCCGTGGCAGGGTGTCGTGTCGCGTGCCGGCACGCTCCACTGTTCTGAGTCACACGTCATTCCGTATGAATTACAACTCCATTAACGTTCTAGGCAACCTGCGAGCATACATAATGCCGCGCTCCTCGACTAACATGTTGATTTATACCGAGCCTCGAAAGAAGGGATGCGTCCCGAACTGATTGAACTCTTCTGATCAACTTCTTCGCAAACGTGGAATTTAATGAGCACATTTATGGAAGACGTTTTCAGGGTAATTTAATCAGAATTCTAAATGCGATACCAGATGATAAATTATCTGATTGTAATTGTAGATATACCAGGTAATGGAAATTCATGGCTTTCAGTTAAATGTAGAAGCCATATATAATTCATTAAATAATTGAATTATAGATTTGCAGAATGATTTGATTACAACTGTATTTAATTGTGTAGAAGTAATTCTGGTAATGAGAAAATTGAATAAAAGTTTTAGGATTATAACTATATTTAGTTGTGTAAAAGAAATTTTGGTAATGGGAGGAATGAATAAAAGTTTGAGGTACCTCAGTGCTGGACCTGAGGCCACGAGTAAGGGAAGATTGAAACTGACAAAGCGTTACCCTCCTTGGAAATGGCGGTCGGTTCGTGACGCCGCAAACTACTAGAAAATTGATAGTAACTTCGAGCTTAATTATCATACACCTCCTCTACGATTCCGACCAGTATTTTCCATCCGTACAAAGACAAAACTAAAACCCGATACTCGGATACTTGTATCATTAACAACAAACCAATTTTTAATCATCGATAATTCGAGTTTATAGCAGGAACAGCCTGCGTATAATTATTTCGTACAGAGTCGTGTTCGAAAATAATTGTTTATTCCAAGCATATCTTCCATCGACGAAATTACATTTTCACGAATGTGTAATTTCCGGCCGTTTTCAGAATATGTTACTGGGCCATCGGTGATTAGTGTTACCAGCAATAAACTTTCCGGCTAACTGGATTTACTGCAATGGCAATAAGCGTCAAAAGTGAACCAACCTTCGCAATTAGCCAAACACATTTCGATATTAAAATTATCCTACGTATTAGAACTTGTTTCAAACAGAAAACGAAACTATTTCTGA